ATGAGAGTGTAAAATATGTACATGTGTAGGAGTATATAGAGGAGAGAGAAGAAATTAAATGGATTGGAAATTGAATAAAATAAATAAGGACTGAGATAATTTTATAGAAAAAGGAGGAGTGATAAGGAATATATATATATATTGAGCTAACTTGGTATTAAATATATTATTACTACATGATGATCATATATAAAAGACGAATAGATGATATAGTATATAATATATATAGTTGTAATATAGACAAGTAAAGTAAGGAGATAAAGAAAGAAATAATCCAGGTTTTTAGTATGTATAGTAGAAGTAAATAGGGTCCCCTGATGCGTATAGTAGTTATATATAGTATTAAAGTCGAGTAGTGTTATCATGTATAATTATATAATTAATATAATCATGAGTAAAATATAATAAATATATATATATATTATTAGAAAAATTGTCTCAGTAAGGTAGAAAGAGAGATGCTAATTATACGTAAGTAAATTTAAGCAGTAATGTATAGGTTATTGGTATAATAATATAGTACTAGAGATACATACATAGTAAACTATACGTAACATATAAATATATATATAACGATATGAGGTAAATATACATACGGAAGTAATTATTAAGAAGGCTTAGATGAAACTATATGTAAAATATGAATAATGATTAAGTAATATATAAGGTATATAAGTAATGTAGAATGAGGAAAAAGAAATAGCAAATAAGTTAGAGATAGAAAATATATAGTACGTAAGTAGCGCTAGAGTAGTAGGTAGGTGTGTGTAGAGAGTAGATATGTCATAGAGGGTAGATGAAGTAAGATTGATAATTAAAAGATAGAGCATGGAATATGGTGGATTATAGTGTAAGTATTATAATGATATAATCATAAGAAAAGGAACTCAATATATATAGTAAAGTAATGAACTAAGGATGAGAAATGAGAGATAGAACTAGTATAAAAGTAGCGATGAATATGATAGAGTTGGGATAGAGTGGTTGAGGGGGTGGGTGCAGAGTAGTAAAAGTGCGGGAAAAAAGTATATAATAGTTGAAGTACCCATAACTGTATCCGTGCATTGTCGCACTGCTCTACAAATACCACTAGTTATACTAGCTAACATATAATGATTACCGTATTATCCTAGTCCCTTAGTTATCTACTTACAATTCTCAAGTATATCTACGGGATCCCTGTATTATACACTATTTTAATCCGGATGGTGTAACGTTGGTAGTCGCTGATGGTGTGGTGATAGGTGTGTGTGGTGTTGTGTGTGTGGTGTTGTGTGTGTAGATGTGTGTGTGTAGGTGTGTGTGTGTGTTTGTCGATTGTGTGTGTGTTAGGGTGTGTGTTATGTGTCACTAGTCGTACATTACGCATACACTCAGACATCGAGCACTACGATAACACAGATGTGGGAACTCTATGCGTTAGTGTCGTGCTCTGCGGCCATGTCGATTCATGTCTGAATGGTTATCGACACACGAGACACACACACATCATCACATCATTAATCCACCACACACATCACACACGAGCACAGCACGACCAGAGCACATAATATCCTCATTGCGTTAGATGATTGATGTATAATGAAATAATATCTTTGATTTGAATGATCTTACCTTATTTATTCCATACTAGTTATATTTACAAATAGAGAATATTTGGACTTATTATTACGTTTCCACTATTACATATATAATATTGATGATACTACCCGATATTAGCATATTATTATTATTATTGTAATATTTTCATATACTATTATTAAATACCTTACCCTATAAAATAGCTATTAAATATGAATCTTTCGTTAGATAAAGGTTGGCTTGTGTGTGTAGTGTGTGTTGGCTTGGTGTGGTGTGTGTGTATTGTGATAGGTGTCGCAGTGTGTGTATAGAGTGTGTTGTGTGTGTGTGAGTGGTGTGTGTGTGTGTATTTGTTGTGTGTCGCTATGCAATATATATTCTCTTTGCGTTTCGATATACCATGAGACCATGATATAATCCATCGCATGAGAGCTGAGAAAAAATCCTTGAACATATCTGTTATCTCCCAGGTTCTTAATACGCACTTAATCCTTATCTCGCGCGTACTTACGTTTTCTGACGTACCACTTTACGCCATCATTTACTATTCATTTCGCTCAACACCGCCTCAGCCGCTTTAAAAAAGAAATAATTTATTAGGTATCCTTAGTTCATGTCATTAATTACCTTTGGCAGTTTATATATAGGATATGACACTAGAACCACAGCATGTCTGAACATCTCCTAAATTACAATTTCACACATCCCTTCTAAAATCTTTCTGTATTATACGCCTCGCTGAATTCTGGAACTCTCTAATAACCGAGTGTTGTTCATAACTTGCTCAAAGTCTAAGTGAATGTAACCTAGTTTTCTTTCTCATATTAACCTTTCGCTACAAACCGCTCAAAAACACCCGTTCTACCTTTTTGTTAACACTATAAGAGTCCTATAAGATTTAGCAAAGCGGGTGCTCGTCTTTCTCACCACCTCGCTCGCTGCCCCTCTCCTCTTCCAAGCATCCTTTTATTCTTCACAACTAGACTCGAGAGGCCTTGGCCATCTCCATAAATCCCTCTCCATATTCACCCAATCAAACATGTCTTATCAGTCCTCCCCCTTAGTCCCAGCCATTGTCCCTTGCTGTGCTCCACCGTCATCGTTTCTCTTTACTTGCCTGCATTATCCCCTGTTTTCACTTTACCCTGCTGCCTCCCACCCAACTAATTCCCTGCTTAAGATATCTCTACTCCTGCTCCCTTCTACACCTATAGCCCTTCCTTTATCTCCCAACACCGCCGTCTCGCCCCCATTCCCGTTAATTAGCTTACAATTTTCCGTCCATCTTGTATTAGCGTCCTAGCGCGAGTAAGCCTTCGTTTATCCTGTCCAATTCTCTAGCCGCTCTGGCTGCTGAAAAGAAATATCCTCGAAGGAACCTTTGCTTCGTTACCTCGTCCCTGGATTGGCACCCGAAGGACGGCGCAGCTCTGCCCAATCTGGTCCTCCTTAGGCTGTTTCTATACTGGTGGTCGTTTGGGAAGGATGAGCGGTCTTCGTCTATGAACGGGAGGCTCGTTGTGTAGTTGGAAAAGAGCAAATTAGTGAGGAAACCAAGATAGGATTTAGCCTCATTTTTTCAAAAATAGTTATGGATATGGGGAAGAAGTTTCACTCGGAGGAGACCAAATTTGTCAGAATGTTTAGAGCGTTCCACATTCTTTGATTCACTTGTTGATGTGTTTACGACGTAAATTACGGCTCTCTTAAAGATGCGATTATGCACAATATAATAACGGGTGATTATTCAAATGCACATGAATTCTGCCCTTATCGCCAGTGTTATTGCAGACGTGAGCAAGGCGTGTTGCAAGGCGGACGGGCGCGCGGGCAGTCGATAAGATGTGCGAACGTATGCAAGGCNTTAATGAGAAATGATCCCATATATTGATGCATCATTTAATTTTGAGAAATTGATCCTTGATTTATAACACTGAAAATTATAAACATTTTGTAACTTATGCAGCAATCGTTATATGAATGAGGTTAATTTGTACTTTACTTTTTTTATTGCATTCATTTTACTTTAGCTCCTTTTATTTGCCAAATATTAATTCAAAATGCGAATAATCAGATACTTTTATTTGTCAAAATAGTAGTAAAGTAAAACGCTATATCACATTCTCTCCTTTATCTCACATTCTCTCTTTTAAAGGACATATCCAACTTGCAAGTAAACAAAAATTATTTTCAGATCTCCACTAACATCAATACAGTGGTGTGGTTTAATCACTCTCTTCTTAAGAGCTCTTGTTTATTTATGAAAGGTTCACTGGCATGAAAATTGCACTTAATGTGTGAGACCTGATATGGATTTTCCACTTGCGTCCAACCTTTTGCCCTTTGTTTTGTTCCTGCATGGAGAGAAAGACTTGAGCTACTTGAAGAATAGAGACTAATAGATATGAAGCCGGGGCCTTTCCTTTTTTTTTTTTTCTTTTTTCTTTACTTTGCACAATAGTGTATAATTGGTACAGTTGCTTCTGCAGGTTATTGTGCTTCATGTATTACTTTCTGTGAAGTTTTGGTGCAGGTCAAAGTAACAGCATAACTATATATGATTAAACAGGTCATTTCTAATCTAAATATGGACATGAGAGTTGTGCCAGACATAATAAAAGCAGGCTTTATTATGCAAATGGAGTGACTGAAAGGCTACCAGATTATGGGAGTAAAGGAATTTACTAAGGCAATTGCAATATTCTAAAAGTGTCAGTAAAACAATCGGGAAATTCATGGTATTGCCATGCAATCCGGAATAATTTTTGCCACTACATTTAACATGTAAAAAATGACAGGTTTAATGCATACACTGTATAGTTTACTTCTGATTGATGTATTGTATTTTCAGTAATATGACAGGAGTGTACTGAAATGTATTGGAATACAGAGTGTAATAGGGATTGATATCTATAACTAGAACGTCATGTAATTACTGCAATGGAACACATACATTAGCAAGTGCATACCGGGTGGCTTCTGCGAAACCCGGACTACTTTAAACACTGGAAGTAGTGAATTAAAAAAAAATAGTATTATTTTAAAAAAATGAGTACAATATTCATTTAGCCTCTTTCTCTTAATTAAAAAAAAATAGTATTATTTTCATTTAGCCTCTATTGCAAGCAAAACCTCTACAGCTTCCATCAACTTTCGGCCCTGTTTGGTTCAAGTGCATAGACTACTGTAAAGAAATAACACTTTGTACCCATTTTCTTTCTTATTTAATCAGCTGTTGATCATAGCTTGCCACTGTTATCGTGTAAAGGAGAGGCAAAAGCCACTATCAGCTGGGTGCAATAAAATAATCGTCCGCTTAGTAGATAAAGGTCGAGTCGATAAGGAAAGCTAAAAATGTATTGCTCTTTCTTTTTCTTTTCTCGCGTTCCGTGTTGTATTTTCGATTCATAGAGAGAAGAAATTGTGCCCAGTCGAGATCGAACAACATTGCGAAAACAGATTTCGATTAGTAATAAAGAAAAATAACAAGACGAAGTTAATTAAATGGAAATCAAACCAAGCGTTTCAATGCGTCTCTGATCATTTCTCGATAATATTTCTTAATCTCTGTTGCACGGTGACATCCCGGCTAACTGTACAAACACCACCAGTAAAGATCAGTGGCTTACGAATTGGACTTGAGGAATCGACTGAATCTACACTGCCTCAGGACGCTCTTCTGTGACGTCACAGAAGAGCAAAGGTAATGTATTAGACCAGTGGTTCCCAGCGTTTTACATTCTGCGGTTCCCGACTAATATGTAATACTCTCCATGACCCCGTTCAGTGGAAGTCAACTTTTCCGATTCAGTTATTACTGAATATTGCAACGGTGTCAGTAGAACACTTTATGGAAATTCCGATTTATTGATATGTGAGATATTTATGCGTCGGTACTGTAAGATAAGATTCAGTTTAATTCGACGTCATAATTTTCATGTTGCTCTATGGTCCCCTAGAGAGTATTCCGTGGCCTCTCTGGGGTTCATGGCGCCCAGATTGGGAACCCCTGAACAGTGGCGTGTAGTGCAGGCCGAAGGAGTTGTGGTCCCGGCCATCCAAATGGGGGGGGGGTGTCAGCAAGAGGGAAAAGGATAATAATTTTGAAATGTATATATAAATCGAATAAAGTGTTGATTTCATGTTTCATCTGTGTTGACATATTCCAAATATTATTTTCTCTCACATTTCTCAGTACTAGGCCTTATACTAGAGTCTTAGGGACATACAATCAAGGAGTTGACCCCGGGCATAACTGGACCTCTGTACGCCACTGCCCTGGCACGAGACTGAATCGGCTGTGGTTAGATTGATATGACTGGGTTCGTGAGCGCATGTAATGAGACTGAGCTGTGTTCTTATCAGATATATATTGAGAGGGTAATAAAGACAAAAAGTTTTTTTTCTCTCTTTTTTTATTATTTCTGCGTCGCAAAAGCCTGTATTTCGTTACATGCGCCATCGACCACCGAGGCATGGCGATTCTCATTGAATCAGTCTGAACACTAAAAGAAAATAATATACTGTAAAGATACAGGAATAGGATACAAAATAAATTTACAGCGTCAATTTGAACTGTCGAACTAGGCCTATTCATTTCTCTTGCATTTCCGCATTTTGTCCTGGATATCTTTTAGTCATACGCTGCTCAAGGTCTATATAAGTACTTACATAGACCTTGACGCTGCTGACACACATCGCGTTCGTAGTTTTGGCGAAAGATTCCTCAGCAGATTCCTCAGCAACATCCTAGGGACTTTCCTTGCATCACAATCGGCAGTTCTTGGTGAATGTTGCAAGCCACAATAAAAGGAGATGTGATGCATAGGCACCAAATAGATAAAATTATGTGGAATGTTTTTAGCAGTTGTAAAATAAACAACTGAGGGAACTTTTTTGATGACAATATCATTATTGGTAAAACATCACAAGGGAATAAAGAATTAAATGCAGTTGACGTGCCATGAAAATCACACGTAGGTGATTATAAAGGTAGCGTTAGCTAAATTGCTGTAAACTTCAACTTTTATTTAGTAAGCTAACGTTGGGTCAGCTTATATCGTATTTGCAGAAAAAGAAAACAAAAGTCTTGTTCTCGAAAGACGCCAAACATATTAATAAGACGTGAGTTGGATGTTTTTAAAAGAGATAGATAGAGAAAGAGAGAGAGAGAGAGAGAGGAGGGAGAGAGAGAGAGAGAGAGAGAGAGAGAGAGAGAGAGAGAGAGAGAGAGAGAGAGAGAGAGAGAGAAGAGAGAGAGAGAGAGAGAGAGAAAGAAAGAGAGAGAGAGAGAGAGAGAGGAGAGAGAGAGAGAGAGAGAGAGAGAGAGAGAGAGAGAGAGAGAGAGAGAGAGAGAGAGAGAGAGAGAGAGAGAGAGAGAGAGAGAGAGAGAGAGAGACTGTTAAGTCGCTGTTACTTCTTTAGTAAAATATGGGAAAATGTGCCTACCTGACTGAGTTTTTCGTGGTAAACCTAGTTCATAGTGTAGGCGTTTCAAGCTGACCCAAAAAACAGGAGTCTCCTAGGGAGGGAAAAAGTTGTAGTAGTGAGTCAAATCTTGCATGAAAATGTCTTCTCAAACTCAAGAATGGGAAAAAAAAACAGGTTTGCGTCTCCGGAAATGTCTTGTCGGTTTCATGTTTCAGCGTTCATAAGGATCATAATTCAGCAGTTGTGATAGGGATTACCGATTATAAGGATCATAAGTCAAGGTCATAATTCCGGCATGATTTGCTTGTTCGTTATGTCGAGTATTTTTATTGAGAAAGAAGTATGACCACCGCCATCGATTGTGGTCGAGTTGGAATATGTAAGGGTGAATTATGTGATATATTTGTGTGTGGTGTGTGTGTGCTGTGTGTGTGTGTGTGTGTGTGTGTGTGTGTGTGTGTGTGTGTGTGTGTGTGTGTGCTGACGTCT